ATTTTAGAGGAAAGTGATGAGGATGCAGGGTTGTGGTGAAAAGGGAGGCAGGGTTCTCCACATCATTATCCTTTTTAAAATTTAAAGGATCAAGTAAATAAATTAAAAGTAATAGGTCTCATTATGTATTAGGCCATCACCCAGAGAGATTCTTCTCCCCCAGACATTATGGAGCTTTTAAATTTTGCAGCTGGGGGTGGTAAGTATCAGGTGCAGGAGAGCAGATGCCTGTGGGCAGCTCCACTGCGGCATATGTAGCAAAAATAGCAACGTGTGACTTTGTACAAAAAGCCAGATGGTCATCATGTAGGCCTCCTGACACTGTGGATAAGAACCCTTCAGAGCATGCCAGTTCTCCCACAGATGAGGAGAGAGGTGGTACAGGCACTACCTAAAAGCCACAGTGGCTACGTGGGGGAAGTCAAGACTTTCCAAACAAAAGCCAGGGGACCGGAAGCCAAGCATTGATCTCTGTTATCCTGGTCTACGTGCAGGTGTCCAGGGTGCCAGATGGAGGGGCTCCAGGGACCCGAAGCAGGGCTTGAAGGATCACAAAGGTATTTGATCAAGGTTACATCAGAACCCTGGGTCATAATTGGGGGAGACATGCTTAGCACAGGGCAGACAAGCTTAGTCCCAAATCAGACAGACAGTGGCCAAATGGATACTAATTCCAAATGACAGAGCAAGGCAGGTGGTTCGGATTCTGGGAAAAACTCAAATCTCTGGCAAGAACTAGAAGAGCAGAGCCAAGTAAATAGATATGCCTGGAAAAATGAAATGAAAATGAATTTTTCGTTCATATGAGGAAGTCACTTCATCCCGGGAGTATGTATATACCTCTTGAAGTGGGGTTTATCCTCAAGTAGGGCCTTTTGAGTGGTAACAGAGATGCCTCTGAGTCAGGAGGAGAGATCACTCCCACTGGCTCCCTCTTATAGCAGCAATGGCCTGGTTCTCTCAGCTGGAAACCCTTCCAGCTCCCCCAGCTCACCAATGGTGGCAGAACAAGTTCAGGGATCTTAGCTCCTTAATGCTTTTGTCATTCTGGTGCCGGGATGTTGTTTTCAGCATGTCACCTGTGGTGACTTGTCAGTAAAGATGTGAGAGTGAAGACTTGGTCTGCTTTCTGCCTCTCTGCAGTGTCAGTGACCCAACAATTAGGGTCTCTCCAGAGTTGTACTCAGGAAGAAACTGCAGGAACGGGGCCTACAGGAGGTTACGGGTGCCTCTTTAGAGAGACCAAACCTATTTCCAGCTGTCTCCCATTTTTTGATCTGATGCTCTGGGAAAGAAAAAGGCACAAGCCAGCATCCTAACATTGCTTAGCCTTCTTCTTTCTCTCTGGCATCTGCCTTTTTGCTGTTACTGCTCTGGTTTTCAGACTCTAAGAAGAACCCCCAAACCTCTTTAGTATTTTTTGCACCACTTAGATCTTTTTATTTCAGTTGTTGATGAATAAGCCAAAAATAATGCTGCTGCTGCACCAGAGGCATGGGCTGCAGGAAGCTGAAAACTCTGGCAGGAGCATTCCCAACACCAGAAGCCAGGGTTTCCAAGCCAATAATGGCAACGCTATCAGTGTCTTGCTTGATCAAATTCCAGCCACGAGCATAGAATTCAAGACATCTTTATTGTCATGAGAATGTATTTAGGATTGGTGAATAAAAATATCAAAGCTGTGTGCCTCCCTAGTCATCTCTCTTTCTCGCAGAGCCATTGCTTTGTGTGTCAGATGAGCTGTTTCCAGGCTTGGGGGCTGGAAGTCCTAAAAGAGCTGCTTGGAGTTTCCAGAAGTCGCAGTGACAGGGGGTTTTCTGGGCAGAAGCCTCAAGAATCCCAGCACTTAGTCTGGATTTATTGTAATACCTTTTTCTTTGCATTATAAAAATAATTTTTGGTGAATACTTTCTACTATATATTTTTGTGATGCCAGTTACATGAATTTATTCATGTGTTAAAAATTCATATAACTGCCCACCAGGAATATAAACTATGACAAATAATTTAAAATTTAAAAGAAAACAGTATGCACAATATAAACAAATAATATGCAAATTATAATGTGAATATCTTTAATACAGCTTTCGTATAACTTACATATCCTTCCTGTTTCTTTTCTGTCCATGAATAAACAGATTCCATGTGCGTATGTATGTTTCCATTTATACATACATATACACATAGACACAATTTGGATCATAATATACATAACGTGATTTTTCACTTGGTGTTATTTTTTAGCCATTTTCCATATTGATAAATGTGGGTCTACTTCATTCTGTTTAATGACTATATACAATTACATTTTATAAACTTATTTAACTATCTTCATTAAACCTTAAGCTCTATCTTTCATTTGAATTACTTTAAAACAGATTAAACCAAAACTTACCTTTCGTCATTCACTAAAGCAAGATTGGCCACGTCTGTTGCTTGCTCCAGCTGGAGGTCCAGAAAGTGAAATAAACTAATTTTACTAGTACAAAAATCAGGAAACATGGAATAAACTAACTTGAAACATCATGTTAGCTATATTTTGAAATAATATGTTCAATCTGCTTTTCTTTAATCTCTGTCTTTTAGGTATTTTTAAATTTAAGGCAAGATTGTTTGTCTGAAAATGCACTAGAGAGAAGTCCAAAAAAACTGAAAACACAAGGGAAAGGCTATATTTATGTACTGCAGATCAAGTGTATTTATCATCAAGGCCATGACAAATAATGGAAGCAGTACTGGTTATGCTAATAGTATGATGTTATTAATACTATATAAATACTTAAGCAAATCTAGCCAAAATTATTTCCCCCCCTTTTTTTCCTCCTCCTAAGAATTAATTCCACCTTGCTGCCTAGGTGAAAGGAAGGTTCAGAGCTAGTTCTCAAGTTACATTTGTAACCAAGACAAAGAAGAACAGAGATGATACTTCCAATTTGCAATATACATTTGATTCACTAGGAATCAGTTGTTGGATGCCTTTAGCTCACAATTGCTTGTATTTCTAATATGTTCCATAAGACTGAGCTTTAAGAAAAGGTTCCTCCTTGAATGATTGGACACATAGCAGTCATA